TGGGTAATTATCTAGGAAATTAAAAACTTTCTGAAACCCTCAAATGCTCATCTTTTTCCCCTAAATTTTCTGAATAATTACAGTTCATAAGATAAAACTGACAGTGAATTTGTTTCTGAATCTCCTATAAATAGGAGTTCTAGAATAATCACTTTTATTTTTAGGTAGAGACCATTGAAAAATGAGTGGATAAAGAAAAAATGCTAAAGAAATGGCCTGGGACTAAATACTTTTCCCATTGATTTTGTTCCATATTATTTTACTCTTCCTAACATAGATCACCTATTACACGTAAGAGATGTTGATGTAGATTAAACTAAACAGAAGTACTAAGCAAAATGACCTGCTTTGAAGCAGCCAACTCACAGTACCTAAAAATGACACAAGAAGTAATGATGTGCAGTAGTTATTTTAATGATGTGCAGTAGTTATATTAACTTTCTTCCAACTTCTCTTTTTGTGAATTTTGCTTTTAACAAAAGCCATTTTGTGTTTTGTGTTTTAAGGTTGGTTGAGAATATGGTATCTTCCTGAATATTTCTAACTATATGATAGCATTATGTTAAGTATTTAATATCCCAAACAGAGATTAGAGTCAATTCTATTTTAACATTTTCCCTCCCAATGGTCAGAGTTACAGCAATTTCTTTTTTCAGATTTGTTGTAAAATTATTGTTACCTGAAAGTAGGTGTTCATCTAATATTATTGTGTTTTCTTCTGCCAAGTTTTGAGAACTGACTAACTTTTGACAATGTGCCCTTGTATTTGGTTATCACTTTCTTAGCCTTGAATCAAAATAATCCACTCATACCTATGTTACGTAATTCACACCTGTCCATAACTTTTCACAAGGACAAAGTAGTAAGCTCATAAGTCATTGTCATGGAAAGGAATTTAAGGTGAAATGAAAGTAAAAGTGAAATTACATATATACATGCATGTGCGCACACACGTTTTCATTCATTTATACATTCATTCATTGTTTGCTGGGCAAACAATCTATAGAAAATATGCTCCTTCCTTCAAGGACTTAAAATCTGGTAAAGGAGATAAGACACACAAATAACTGATGAAATTGGAAAATAAGTGCCATAGGAGAGTTAAAAATATAGGCATCAAGAAGGAGAGTAAATAGATTACCTTTCTTATTAATGCTAAAATGAGCAGGACTAAGAACTCTTTGGATTCAGAACTAAAGAACATTCAACACCTCTCATCACCTACTACATACAAAACCAAGGGTGTCCCAACTACCCACCAGGTAAGTTTTATTACCAAAAAACAAAAACAAAAACAAAAAAAAACTTGAATACCTTATCAGCATTTCAAGGTCACCATGTCAAAAATCAAAATCACTCTTCCACCAAACCAACTCCCTCCTTTCCCTTCTTTTGCTCCAAAGCCATTTGCCTATTTCTAATATTAAAGTAATGCCATTCTTATGTTTCAGCCTGCTCTATCATTGGCAGTATAAATAATAAATTACACATTTTCTATTTCCTTAAACCTCTTACCAGACCTTTCTTTTCATTTCATTGTCATACTCTCAGACTTCCAATGACAAACTAATTTCTTTACCTTTCTCTCTCTTGACTCCAATAGTCTAGACAAATATTTTGCTGATAGATTGAGCTTCCTAATTTTTATTTCCAATCATACAATTCCCATGCTCAAACACATGGGAATTAATTTACAAGTTGTAAATTAATCAACTTTATGAATCAATATTTCTTTTTTGATCATGCTGAGGATTGAACCCAGGGCAGCACACATGCTAAGCATGCTCTACCACTGAGCTACACTCCCAGCAATATGAATCAATATTTATCTTCCTGGTATTCCTGCTGCTATCTTTCCAAACTTATTTCTTAATACTCAGGAAATCCTTAACTCTGCCCAACATGTGGCCTCTCTATATTTTCAGACTAGAATACTATGATGTTTCAATGTTCATATTCAACAAAATCTGTTCATAAAAGCTCATAATTTATAGTTTTATATGAAGACTTTTCTGATGATCTTATACCACAAACTAAGCTAGCTGTTAATTTTCCATAATATTCTTTATTCACCTCTTGAGACCTTTACTATAATCAAATTTGGCTTATCTTCTTTCCTTCCCCGCTTCTAGGGCAAAGGATGATTTTTATAAATCTAGAGCATTCAGTGTAGAATTTGCTTACAGTATCTTCAATCAATTTTTATTTCAAGAAATTGAATGTTCAGTCACTAACAAATGAATTTCTCCAAGCAATTAAATCCTCCTTCAGCTACCAATAAAGGGGAATCTATTTTTGTCTGAAAATGCTATTTTTTTATTCCTGAATGAATGTAAAGTTTAAAAAGAAATGGCATCTGAAGAGTAAATACATATTGTTTCCAGGACCTTCTTTTGCTTAGAATCCTCCTTCCTTTAACTTCTCAGTCCTGATAGTCAAAAGCTTATCAATCTAGACTTAAAGGAGCTTAAATGCCACTGTATGGGTCTGTTCAGTTTTTAGTACAATTTAGAGAACTTTAGGAAAGAATGACAGTTTCCTTTCAGGAAACTCCTATATATATTTCAAAAGAAAAGCTTTCCAAATTGGACATTGTAAAATAGTATACCACCAACCACATAATAAAAGTCACTCATGCCATGTAGAAAGAGTCCTTGGATTTTGACAACACAAAAGCCTATATTGTATTTATTTAAATCTGAGACTGACAAAAACGTTAGAAWGGAAATGTGATCAATTTCTCTAAAAGATTATGATTTAGAAATAAATAACTATGCATAAAGCAAGGATCTGCTTGACAACTTGTGAATGTTAGGCAGATGAAATGTCTCCTGCACCTTTAGAATGTGTTAATCATCCTAAGTTTTGGAAACATGTGAAGCTCTGGAATCAGTGTGTTCCTGGCACAGGGAGTAAAGGAAAGAACTTACTAGATCAGCCTAGGAAATGCTTCACTTCCTGTGCCCGACCTGTGAAGGAAACAAAGCAGGCCAAGCCAGGTGCAGCAAAGACTTAAGTGCCCATGGGAAAATCTCTTTCAGTTCCCTCTAGGCACCACATGGATGGTGGATGTCTGCTCCTATGCTGTGACTTCATTTTCTCTGATAAGTGAGGCAGTTTTGTTGTTGTTTTGCTTTGTTTTTAGATGTCACAGACACTGGCCTTTAGTTAACAAGTGGGCTTGTTGGCAGAAATGGAGAAAGAGAGTCATTATTTAAGTTTTGTGTGTGCACAAATGGGAAACCATCTTCCTTGGGTTAAGAGTTCATTAGCAAGATGACACTGTTTAAAAAAGGTTGTGCTCATTACCAGGGATCTCAAGGAGGCTGGCGCTTCACCAAAGCCAACGTTAATAGGAAGAATCTGCCAGACCATTCTGCGATGTCCTTCACCTTCATATCTTCCTTATTGACAAGTTTGGGAAGATAATTCTATTGATCCTACTCCACTTTGTTTTCAAAGGACGTGTAATCCATTCTGAGTTTAATAATGCTGACAAAATGCTGTACTCGCTGATGCTTGCAGACCTGGACCTGCCAGCAGCCTAACACAGACTTTCGGAATTTATATTAACCTGGCATGTACTTGTGAGCCGTGCTTTTTATGGCATTGAGATTCTTATCAGTCTTTCTCATGCGGATTGACTTTACTCATCCACTAGCGCATTGATTTCTGTGACAGCTGATATACATTCTTTATTTTTAAAAGTCAGATTCTTAATAACTCTTCTAAGTTAAAATTTCTGCCTTTGATACCTGTTGCAACCTAACTCTGGAAATTCCAAATTGTATGGTAAACAAGCTATGTGATTCTGCAATGTTGTGGAATTTGTCCTAACTTTTTACATAGATATTTTGAAAAATTATTGACAAAATGTTGCTCAAAAATGATTGATAAGATGTTGCTTATTTTTTCCCTACATTATACTTATACATCAGAATTTTGTAGGCAACAAACTTTTGAAAAGAGCCCAGACAAAATAAAATTAGAACTGAGTTTTTGGATATTTTCCCCCTAGGATTTCTCAGGATCAGAATCAATCTTTACAACTATGTTCTTTTATGATAGTTTGGTTTTCACACTTATTAAGTCTGTCTTGTATTAGAATCACTTGTTTATTTCTTCCAATGGTACAATTACCTCCATAGGCAAGGGAATCTTACTCATTTTTATATTCCTTTCACTGCCAAATATAGGATAGGAGCTTAATAAATATTGATTACATTTAATTAGAATTACAATGAATTAATCAGGGAGGGTTAAGAGTCAAACATAATCATTTCTCGACACTGTTCATTAATATAGTCAGGGATTATGTAGATACATATATATCCTTTATAGGAGTTTCTTAACCTGCAGTCAAGCAACAGGGATTTTGTGTTTACATATTCTTGAAATGTTATGCAAAATATGTGCATATGTTTTGATGCGTGTAGATTTTTGCAACAAAACTCTATAATCTTTGACTAAATGAGTCTCCCTGTCTCATCCCAACCGTTTAAGATATTAAGATTCCCTTCTTTAGGCAGCTGTACCCAACTTCTCAATAGATCAGAGCTGATAGACAGTTGGAACTAATATAGGGGAGCATCTGTGATACAATATTCCCAGTTACCAATCTTTCAGCCATTCATAACAATCTTATTGCTTCTGCACTTATGTCTAAAAGGAATACATATTTGAGAAGTGGTGCATGTGAGCCAGCATTCTATCCCCAGATTTTTCTTCTGTAACAAGGCCTGTATATTTCTAGTGCCTTTACGATTTTATCAAACACTTCAAGTCTATGGCATCAGCAAGTGTTTCCCTTCAGTGAAAGCAAATATTCTCTCTATGGCACTGTCTCCAGGCAATGGAAGTCAATGTCCACACGCTCAATTCATCAAAAGAATTGCTGCATCAAAATTTCAGGGAAAGCTCCCTGAAAGTAAACTAAGGCTAAGAGCTCATTCATAGCTATTTCTCATCCACACCGTCAGAAGAATAACAGAAACTGGTACCTGTGCTGACTTCACAGCTGCAAAGACTGAACAGAAGAAAGAGAGTGGTCACTTGAAGCAGTTGCATGGTGCCTGTGGATCCTCTCAATGGCTTCTCTCTTCAGAGTAAGGCAGGGAAAATTTCCTCCCACCCTGGCAGGGCCTTATTAGCAAATGGAAAAGGTGTGCTGAATGTGAGCAGCCACTGCTCATTCCTACTTATTTTGGGGGCTCTGATAAGAAACGGGAGGAAATACACACACTCCCTTTGGGAGTTCAGCAGAGAGGAGATTTATTGTTTCAGTCCCTTACAGGAACTCTTTTTTTTCCCCTCTCTCTCTTCCTTTGGCAGCCACTTGTGTTTTTGTTACTACATTATTTTGTTCTTCTTCAACAAAAAGGTCAGGATGGGTTTTGAACAGAAACAGATTCTTCTTGAGAATGGATCAGAGAGCTTTCTAACTTTTGTTTTGAAAGTACATTTTGGAGTGGTTATAAAGGGACCTCATTAAGCGGCTACTCAGTGTGAATAAAAAAGCTTTAACTTCCCCAGGGCTAGACATCGGAGCAAAATCCAGCGGGAATCTCATTTTGTCTTCTCTTTTCTACCTGAAAGCCAGACCAGTGAAGACTACCTTATGGGGGAGATAAGTGCAAAATCTTATCGCATAGATCATAATCTGCCCTTGAGTAAACAAGGAGACTTCTTTAGACTGCCCAGAGAGGTTTTACAAGTTATTTAAATTATTTAAGCAAGATGAGTGTGGGTGTTCACTGTTTTTATGGCTGGGCTTTGATGAAGAACAAGGAAAAAATACTTACAATACTTTGTGGGTAGAGAGGATGGCATTAGAATGGCATTGGGTGGAATGCCATCCCTGCAGACCAATGAGGCTGGGAGGGATGGCTTCTTCCGGACAAGAATACCAACCCGGCAGGATGACCTATATAGCAGGAATCTCTTTCATGTCGGTGATGACTGACTGAAACATGGTGATAACTCTGCCTCTACTCTGGATGCAACTCTGATGTGTGACAATAACTTCCTCATCCACAGACTTCACATCTAATCTCAGCCAATCACCCTTTAATAGACCTTAGACTTGCAGTCTACTGGATAAGAGTGTAGATTGATCTACCCTGCCAAGAAACTATTAAAAAATTATAACTTTACCTGTTTATAAGGAAGTAACACATCTCATTGCTGAACCTGCTGGAAAGGACTCCGACTCCACCCAAGAGCAATTGTGGCTCAAAACCCCTGAATACACTAGCTTGTTTCATCTTAAGTTATGCCAAGTCTCAGAAGGGCTGGGTTTCTATTGTGGACTTTAAGGGAGACTTGATTACACCCTCTATTCTTATTGATTTTATAAAACAGAACACCTTTGGGATTATAATTTTGTCTGGCACATCCTAGAGAATAGATAGCAATGTATATGAATAGCTGTCACATGTACTTTCCAGAAATAAATTGGGGTGTGGTTGTGTGAATGCACATTAACTCACTTCCTGCTCCTTGCTGTACTCTAACTCTGGAGTTCACAGCACACAGGGTCACCACTGATGCTGGTCATTTCTAGGGTATCCAAAAGCACTTGGATTTCTTATCCCTGAGTGCTGTGTGAAACCCATTACAAGAATGCTTAATTATAGATATTTAGGCTATTTAACCAAAAACAAAAACAAAACAACAAACCAACAAACATATAAAGGACTTGTAGAGGAAAGAAGAAAGAGAGAAACAAAAACTAAGAAAACRCATTTTAAAGTGGCTAAGCAGAAAAAAAAATATAGGAGTAATAAAAAGTGGTCAGTTTTGCCTCACTAGATCAGAAAGCACTTTTTTTAGGTAAAAGAATCAATGAAAACAGTAGAGGTTATAGAAGAGACAGATCAATGACACACAATAGAAAGTATAGACACAAAAATATGTGTTATTGATATGTATATATATAGAATATGTATATGTACATATATATGGAAAGAGAGATGAATGTGTGGGCTTGCTTATATGTATGCATATAGACTAGATATAGGTGCATTTATTATTTTTTGATATAATGAATAGGATAATAATGCATAATAATTACTAAATAATGCATATTTAGTAAGTGAATTAGGGCACATATTTAGTAAGTAGACATTCACATATTGAGAAACAGATATTCACATTTTGAGATAGTCTGCCTTGTTAGAAACAGGTATAATAGACTTCCAACTTTTATTAGAAATTTGTCCCATTTTCCACTTCAAGGTACTTTCAGGATCGTGTACTTTCCTTGGTGGGGATAGAACCTAATAGTTTATCCTGTTACTTGCATATGAAGATGAGAATTGGGTGATCTTCTGAAGGTGTTGGGAACAGAGCTGAAATGAAATAGATACTGAGAAACCCATGGTGCAAGAAATATTAAGTCCCCTGCCTACAAAGCCAAAATGGAAATGAGCCTCAACAGTGGGAGGAGGGCCCAGTCATGTGGCCAAGCCTATCTTAGGAAAATAGATATCTTCTGCACATAATGCCAGGGCCAGTGCTAGTTCATTATTGCTCCCAAAGGAAAGAAGACATCATGACAAGCTGGTTCTTGAGCTTCCATAGAGTCTGTCCCTCACACTCTCAATTGTCTATCCCAATTTAACTTCTCAGCCTATAAAGAGAGTTCTCTCCCTTCACAATGACTCTCTAAATTTGTGTAAGTCCCTTGATTCAAGAAGATATACAAATGGAAGGATCCTAATGGCATAATATCTCAGAAATGAGAAATATTTATTTCAGAAAAATAATTGTTTTTTTAAAATAACAAATAATAATTGCACATATTTATGGGGCACGATAAGATGGTTCAATACATRTATTTGTTCTGTAATGATCAACTTGGGGTAATTAACACATCAGTCACATTTATGATTTTTTGTGGTGAAAACATTCTTCTATTTGAATTTATTTCCTTGTTAAGTATCTTCTATTTTTCTATTAAAATTATTAATGGGTGTTAATTGTACAAACTGGTGAGATCATGTCCTCCCTCCCTTCTATCCTCTTTGCCTTCCCCTCATTCCTCTTCCCTCCTTCCTCTATCCCCTTCCATCTTTTCTTTACTGGTTTAGATTCCACATATGTGAGAAAATATGCTATACTTATCTTTCTTTGTATGCTTATTTTACTTAACATCATGTCCTCTGTTTCTATCCATTTTCCTGAAAATAGCACGATTTCATTCTTTTTTATGACTAATACTCCTTGTGTATAATGCCATAATTTCTTTATTTATTCATCTGATGACAAGCATCCAGGCAGATTCCATATTGTGACTATTGTGAGTAGTGTCACAGTAAACATGGACACACAGGTATCTCTTCTGTGTGCTGACCTCACTTCCTTTGGATGTGGATAGCTCTGTCATGTGGTATGGTAGTTATTTTTTGTTTGTCTGTTGGTTTGGTTTTGGTACTGGGAATTGAACCCAGGGGCACCTAACCACTGATCCATGTCTACAGCCCTTTTTTGTATTTTATTTAGAGACAGGGTCTTGCTGAACTGCTAAATGGCTCCCTAAGTTGCTGAGGCTGGCTTTGAACTCACAATCTTCCTGCCTCAGCCTTCTGAGTCACTAGGATTACAGATGTGCACCACTGTGACTGGCCTTTATTTAGGTTTGTGAGGAAACTTCCATACTGTTTTTCATGGTGGCTATACATTCTCACTAACAGTCTATGATGGTTCCTTTTACTTACATCACTGATGACATTTTTATTTATTTTTTTAAAATAATAGCCATTCTAATTGGCGTAAACYGGTTGAAGTACTTTCCATATATTCATTGGCCATTTGCACTTCCTATTTTGAGAGGTGTCAGTTCAGATTATTTGCCAAATTTTGACTGGAATACTTTTGATGTTATGCTTTTTGAGTTCTTTATATATTCTGGATATTAATCCTCTGTCAGATGAATAGCTGGGCAAAGATTTTCTTCCATTCTGTAGATTGTCTCTTCTCTCTGTTGATTGTTTCCTTTGCTGTGCAGAAACTTTTTAGCTTGATAAAAAGCTTTTTAGCTTGTCAATTCTTGCTTTTGTTTCCCAAGCTTCTGGAGTCTTATTCAGAAAATAGCTGCCTTGGCCAATATCTTGATGTTTCCATTATGTTTTCTCTGGTAGTTTCAAAGTTTCAGGTCTTAAATTGAGGTTTGATACATTTTGAGTTGATTTTGTGCAGGGTGAGAGACAGGGTTCTCATTTCAATCTTCTACAGGTGGATGACCAGTTTTCCCAGCACCATTTGCTGAAGAGGCTATCTTTTCTCCAATGTATGTTTTTGACCCCTTTATCGAGAATCAGTTGGCTATAGATGTTCAGGTTTGTTTCGGAGTGCTTTATTCTATTCAATGATATACGTATCTAATTTCTTGCCAATACCATTCTGTTTTTTGTTACTACAGCTCTGTCATATATTTTGAAATCAGATATCGTGACATCCCCTGCACTTCCTTTGGATAAATACCCAGATGTGGGAGAGCTCTTTCATATGGTATGATAGTTATTTTTTTTTGTTTTGTTTTTGTATGATCCTGAGCTTTTTTTTTTTTTTTTTTTTTTTGCTCAGGATCATTGGGTATTTTGTGCTTCCATACAAATTTTTGGATTGCTTTTTCTGATTCATTGAAGAATGTCATTTGTATTTTATGGGGATTGCTTTGGATCTCTAGATTTTTTGGTAGTTTAGTCATCTCAAAAATATGTATTTTCACAATCTATGAATGTGGTGGTCTTTCTATCTTCTAGAGGTCTTCTTCAGTTTTTTCTTTAGTATTCCATAATTTTTATTATAGAGGTCTTCCAGTCTCTGCCCTTCTGTTTCACAGCCAAGATTTAGATTCTGCCAGCTTTGTCCCAGTATCTGGGTGAACTTAGAATCCCAGGAACTTAGCTAGGTTCTCACAGTCAACATAGATTCTCAGTGATCCAGTGGTTGCATAGAGAGGGTAGGGGTCAAAGCCAGTCTTCATGAATGCATAGATATCCTCATTTCATGAGAGCAAGGAGTCCTGGCTTTGCCACTTTCTCTCTGTGAATGAGGGGAAGTTAATAAAACTCTCCAATTCTTAGTTTTTCTTTTTTTTTTTTTCATGGAACTTGCTCATCAGTTTTGTATGACTGTCTAATGAATACCTGATCCCAA